TTTCTGCTTTTTTGAAAATAAAAAAATGCATCCTTTATGGAAATAAAATTCCTCCACAAGGCCCGAGGTGTCCTATGAAATTTAAATAAATGAAAAAAACATTTTTACTCCAGATTTTGGCCTTGTGCCCAGGCTTAATGGCCTTGTGCCCTAGAAAAAATATGAATAGCCAAGGCCAAAGTGGCTGTGCCCTCCTAAATCCTTATGTCTAGCCCTGAACATATATTGCAACTTGAGTATACTAAAAATTTTACTTCTTAACACCCCCTCATACAGTACTCAGGTTGCTGAAATATAAAGAAAACTTACACAATAAATCAAAAATGTGGGTCTCTTCCACTTCCTCTTATTATTTTTTTTTATTATTTTTTTTTACTACCGAACATAACATCTGCAAACTTTATAAGTTTTAACTTAGACACAGGTTTGGTCATAATATCTGCAACCATTTCTTCGGTAGTGCAAAATAACAGACACATTTTTCCTTCATTTACAATAGATCTTACAAAATGATATTTTATGTCTACATGTTTGCACCTCTGACGGCTTACAGGGTTTTTAGCTAAAGCAATTGTTCCCTGGTTGTCCTCATAAACTACTGTTTGTGTGTATTTGTAGCCATCAATACCATTCAAAAGCTGCTCTAAATATATACACTCTTGCATCGTAGAAGACAGAGCCATATATTCTGCTTTACAGGTAGAGAGCGCTACAGTGGGCTGTTTCTTGGTCTTCTATGAAACTAAAGAACTGTTCTTGCTTAGGCTTACACAGTAACCTGTAGTACTGCGTCTGTCTGTAGTGTCACCTGCCCAGTCAGCATCACTGTAGGCTACTAAACCTAGACTTTCACTGTCCTTTGTTCTTAGTCCCTCCGAGATACCTTAACACATGCTTCACAGTTACCCACTGTTCCTCTGTTGGTTCATGGAGATATTGTGACAATTTGCTTACCACAAAACTCAGGTCTGGACAGGTACATGTGGTGAGGTATATAAGGCAGCCTACAGCCTCTCTGTACATCCTCACATCTTTCATCTTAGTAGCACCTTCTGTGCAGCACAATTTTTGATCACACAGACTTTCTCTGGGTTTACAGTTCTGCATGTTAAACCTCATCAGTATCTTTTCAACATATGCTTCTTGTGACATCTTTACACATCCATCAGACTGAGTGAAATCAATCCCTAGGAAATGCTTAAGTCTGCCTAAGTCCTTCATCTTAAATCCGACTGAAAACATTACTTTCACATCCTTCATTACCTTCTCATTGCTTGCTGCAATAATCAGATCATCAACCCAGATGATCATGATCACCTTTCCATGTTCCGTCTCCCTTGTGTAAACACAATAGTCTGCTGGGTTTTGTCTGAAACCGTTCTCTGTTAGATAATTGTGCAAAATCTTATTCTAGTTACGACCAGACTGTTTTAACCCATACAAAGATTTTTCTAGCTTACACACCAGACCTTCCCCCTCTTCATACCCTTCTGGTTGATCAATGTAGATCTCATAGTCAATGGGGGCGTGTAAATAAGCTGTCTTCACGTCCATTTGATGGAGTAGCAGGTTCTCCTGCGCCACTTTTTGTAGCAGAACTCTTATGCTGGTTAAGTTTGCTGTTGGGGAGAATGTTTCTTCATAATTTATACCCATCTTTTGGCTGTTACCCTTAGCTACGAACCTCGCTTTGTATTTTTCATTTCCTTCAATGTCACTCTTAACTGAATAAACCCATCTACCACCCACTGTTTTCATGCCTTTTGGCAAAGTGGTGAGGGTGAAAGTATTATTATCTCTTAAAGATTGGATTTCTTCATCCATAGCCCTGATCCATTTCTTTGAGTTAGCTGATTCCACAGCTTCCTTAAATGTGTGTGGGATGCTGCACACAGCTCTGTAACAGAAGTCAATATTAGTGTGGATCTCATCACTATCATTGTTGTTAGTTACAAAATCCTTTAGATGCCAAGGTTTTCTTCACTCCCTAGTGGGATATCTCCCATTGCAAGACTCGTCACTCATTACACTTGACTCATTTTGTTCACACTCATTTGGAATATCACTCAGTGGACTTTTGTTTTCCACTACTTGTTCTTGAGACTTCTCATTGTCCTTGTCAACTTTCCGTATGAGCCTGTCAGCTATAGGCTGTCTTACTCTACCATAATCATTATATATTTCTCCCTCATGTCTGAGTTTGTCTTTCCACATTCGTCTTGCTCACAAAGTTAACAAGTCTATGTTTCTGAACTTTCTCAGTGTCAGGATGATAAACTAAATAGATCAGACTGTTCTTATCATAGCCTACAAAAAAATCCTTTATCACATTTTGGATAAAGTTTTCCTTTACCCTGTGTGTATGTGTAACATATGGACCCAAACCGCTGCATTTTTGATAAATCCGGCTTTTTATCTGTCAATTTTTGGTAAGGGTTTTTTTTTGTTCCCTTATTAAAACATCTGTTCCTTGTTATGGCTGCTGTTTGAACAGTGTAGTTCCATAGACACTTTGGTAGCTCACTCTCAATAAGCATACATCTGCCCATCTCGAAAAGAGTATGTCAGCCCCTCTCGGCTGTACCATTTTGATGTGGTGAGTATGGAGCTGATGTTTCATGCTTGATACCATTTTTCCTTAACAGAATTTGAAAATCTCTGCATGTGAACTCAGTGCCATTGTCTGATCTGACACATTTAACCTTTCCATATGGTGCGACATCTGCTACAAATTTTTCTGTTGCCTGTAGTGTATCCGTTTTTGTCTTCAGGAAATATACAAATACTGCACCTGAATAATCATCAGTAAACGATTTTACATATCTATATCCATCGATTTACTCATTTGTTATCGGACCTGCCAAATCTGTGTGTACCATCTGCAAGGGAGCCTTCGCTCTTGTATCAGGATTTCTGTTTCAGGTTTGTACAAACTTTCCCTGAATACACACTTCGCAGTTCTGTTCAGGTCTATCAGTTTTCCCCTTAATCTCCATACCTTTAACTACACTTTGCAATCTCAGCACATCTTCATAGTTGCGATGACCTAATATCTCGTGCCATGTTTGTATGTCATGACAGGTGTTGCATTTATCATTTCCTTCAACCTCAGTTTGCAAATAATATAACTTGCCGTGCACATTAATGTTAAAGTTAGTACTGTCTTTGTGGGTCAACATGTCCTGCCCTTGTTTAAAAGTGACTGTTGCTCCTAATGCAGTGGCTTACTTTACTGAGAAGATGTCCTGGGGGTACGATGGAATTAACAGTGCGCCTTTCAGTGTTGCTCTGCATCACTGTCCTGTACTATCAATTAGGAGTACCTCTGCATTACCTCTTCGTTGAGCGATGCCTTTGCACTGGGTACCATCTGCCAGCTCTACGCAGTGTGTCACTTTAAATTTGTGTTTAAATGGCCCTTTATTCCACACTTGAAGCATTCAATGTCGACATCACTCTTCTCTCTGTGTTATATGCTTGATCTAGCTGGTCTCTGCCCTATTCTGGTTGCAGTTTTCATCACATTCATTATCACCAGATTCAGGCACGTTTAACTTTTCAGTGTCTTCAAAAATACGTAGTTTTGTTTTGAACTCTGGAAACGTTAAATCGTCCTAATCGTGTGTCACGTGTATTGCAAATGGTTTAAAACTTTCGGGCAGTCCCTTTAAAACCATAGCAATCAGTAGGCCATCACTTAAAGTCTCACCCGCATTGTGTAGTGCCGTAATGGCGGCCTCCGCCCTGATGATGTACTCTGTAACCGTCTCTTCCCTCCTTTTCTGAAGCGACGTCAGCGTGGTGTACAGGTTGATGATTCGGGGCTTCCCTTTTCCAGCGTAATAGTCTCTTAATATCTTTAGTGCCATTCTCCCATTATCGGCTGAATCTCTCATAATTAACGAGAGGCTTTTATCGTCCAAAAGTTGAATTAGCTCGGCGTATGCGTCAGCATTCTTCTTACCATTTGCTGCTTCTTCAGCCTGACCATTCGGATCTTTCAGGACGGTGTCTTTTAATCCTAATAAGTGTAAATGTCCAAGCACTTTGGTTTCCCAAAGCTCATATTTGGTCTCATCTCCGTCGAACATAAGTCGAGGCAGCCTGCTTGCTCCATGTTGCTATTTTAGCAGTTAATCCGTTATCCGTCGCGATACTACTTAGCTGCACTAGATCAACTTACGCACTAAAAACCTCTTCGAGTTGTCCCTGGGCCCATAACCTGTTGAATAATTGCACCATCAACAGCAATAAACTCGAAGGAAAAAAACGACGGAGTCAGAGAACTCTTCTTCTTTCTTTTTATTAGATCACCACAAAACAAAAAAAAAAACTTTCTGAGATTAACAAAAAAAAACTCCTGAATAATTGCACCAGCGCCCCTTAGTGGCGACAAATATAGTACTACATACAGTAGCTATAACAACATAAGAGAGCAAACATTTATTGCAACTTGAGTATACAAATTTTACTTCTTAACAAGCTTTATATCCCTCTCACATCATTTTAATACAAGAGTCTATTGCTGAATGTTTATCGCTATTGTTTTTCTGCCTTAATTAAATTAATTATTTAAATTAAATAAATGTTTTTTTTCCCAGAAGGGTAATACGCGGATCAATGTGGAAGCAAATATGTACTTTGTTTTTCAACTAATTTGAAAAATATCAATGTTTCATGGATAATTAGGGGTGCGTTTTGATGGAAAATGTTCAAAATATATGCCTCATTGCGCACAGGATAATCTGGAATACTTTAGCACACAATGTTGCAGACTGGATCAAGTGAGTTTTCTTGATTCCAACGATATGTGACTCATGTCTGTATATTCTGTTTTCACAACTATGTACTCCGTGTATAGAAGCTCCACAGATAGTTTAACCAATAAATCTTAAGGAAGTCAGCGACGAAATACTCAGTCTTCCATGAAATGAACGAGCCTGGACGCTTTATCCTTATAGCAGATTTATGAGCGCGATGCAAGTGGTAAAAAACTGTAATACAATTCAAACAACAGTACGTCAGGACTAGATAACATATACAATACTTAGTCATACACAAACAACTAACAATTCTACTTACAGGCTATTTTTGTAGACAGGGTCTGAAGAGAAAGATCTGCTACCTTTGCGCGCCTTGCTAAAACTGAACTCAAAAGGAGGAGTTTCCGGTGCCCTTTGAACTCAAGGGGGCTGGACTTGTTCTCGATGTAATAAACTGACACGTAGGTTGGCACTACCACAACCGGTCGACAGGTGGCAGCAAACTGCTACAATTAACATTACTAAACACACAATAACTGCATCGTGCCTAAATGATGTAATGAATCCAGAACACTCCCTGCTTAATGTGAGAATAACACATTACCATATAAATTACTGCTAGGCTGAACATACACAATTCAGTCTTTTTCAGAAACAAGAACAACAATGTCAGAAATTGGTCTCAAGTAAGACCTGGTTGTCCCTTGGTTGACCACTTTCACTTCAACTTTTCTGACTCTGCCATCTCTGCTCGGCGAAACACTGACGACGCGTCCCACAGGCCAAACATCCCTGCTTTCCTGACCGTCCTTTAATAACACAACATCTCCTGTTTGAACGTTCGGACGATTTTGGGTCCATTTACTGCGGCTTTGTAGAGTCGACAAGTACTCTCTTTTCCACCTCTTCCAGAAAGCATCAGCCAGATTTTGAACTTGTTTCCATTGTTTCACATGCAGTCCTGCAGTTTCAAAATTGCCAGTAGGGGCTGATAAAGAGTTCACTTTCTGGGTCAAGAGCATTGCTGGAGTGAGGACCATGGGATTATCAGGATCCGTAGAAACAGGTACCAGAGGTCTGGCATTCATAATGGCTGTGACTTCAACCATGAAGGTGCTCAAAATCTCATGGGTCAGACGAGTAGGCCTATCCTGGAGCAACATTCCATCCAAAATACGTCTGGCTACACCTATCAGTCTTTCCCAAACGCCTCCCATGTGTGATGCATGTGGGGGGTTGAAAATCCATGTACAACCTTTATTTAGGAGATAATCTTGAACCGTAGAATCAGCTCTGTAGAAGTTCAGTTCTTTACAAGCTCCCACAAAGTTTGTCCCTCTGTCAGAGCGAAGTAACTTTGCTGGACCACGAATAGCAAAAAACCTTCTTAAAGAATTAATGAAGCTGGAAGCTGACATAGTCTCAATCAGTTCTATATGCACAGCTCGCGTGGACAAACAGGTGAAAAGCACTGCCCAGCGCTTATTGTCAGCACTGCCTCCTCTAGTGCGGCGAGTCATCACTGACCATGGACCAAATACATCAATGCCCACACTAGTGAATGGGGGTTCAGGAGTGACTCTGTCTTCAGGCAAATCCGCCATTTTCTGACTTTCTAACCTTCCTCTTAATTTGCGGCAGATAACACACTTGTGGATAACTGCAGATATCAGACGCTTGCCACCGAGGATCCAGAAACCCTCTGCTCTGATTGCACCCTCGGTTATGTGACGCCCTTGGTGTGCTACTCTGTTGTGATAATGTCTCACAATCAAAGTGGCGATGTGATGGTCGTGAGGTATAATGATAGGCCGCTTCTCCTTGTCAGACAATGCAGCATGTGACAATCTGCCACCCACTCTCAGCAGTCCATCTGCATCTATAACAACACTGAGTTTCTTGAGCCGGCTTTGTCCTGGAAGTGTCTTATGCTCCTGTAAGCACGTGTACTCTTGCTTAAAATATTCATGTTGAACAGAAGAGATGATAATGACCATCGACTGTGAAATTTCCTCTGAGTCGACTTTCTCTAGAAAACTTCTCCAGCCTCTACATTGGGAATTGCTCGATTTTTTCTGAAAACTTCTAGAAACATGGATAAGTCTAGCAATTGTCTTAAGTAGTGACACCCAATTAGAGAACCTCTCAAAGACATGTGGATGGATGAAAGTGTCAGAAGCTCTGGTGCTGAAGCTAACAATAGCTGGTTTTACTTCAAGATCAACTTCAGGCTCTATGAGAGGGTAATGTTCAGTCGTGCCGCTTATTCCCTCCTCGTCTGTTCGGTAGAGGAAAGAAGGGCCCGAGAACCACATAGAGTTCTGGAGAGCAATTGTCTGTGTGGGCCTAGTGGCATAATCTGCCGGGTTCTGTCCTGTAGACACATAGAACCACTGACTAGGGCGTGTTACTCTTCTGATTTTATTTACCCTGTTGGCAACATAAAGGTAAAATCTCCTGGAAGAATTGCAGATGTAACCCAGCACAGTTTTGCTGTCTGTAAGGAATCTCACAGCATCCAAGTTGATATGTAACTCATCTCTGATGAGCTCATACAGTTCCACAGCTAGCACAGCGGCACATAGCTCCAGACGAGGAATTGTGTGCGCTGGTTTGGGGCTCAGCTTGGACTTCCCCATGACGAATCCAACAGAAGATTCATTTGATACATCAATGGTTCTCAGATAAGCTACAGCACCTATTGCTGTATTTGATGCATCCGAAAAGATGTACAGTTCTCTTTTGCATGCTGCTAATAGAGAAATAGACACATAACACCTAGGTAACTCTAAATGTTCTAAAGCTTGCAAGGATTCTCTCCATTGAACCCACTCATACAACCTTTCTTGCGGGAGTGGCTCATCCCAATCACATTTCCTAGATGAAAGCTCGCGTAACAAAACCTTACCTTTTATGGTAATGGGTGCTACGAACCCAAGAGGATCGTAAAGGCTGTTCACTGTAGATAAGATCCCTCTTTTGGTGAAAGGTTTTTCTTCAGAAGATACCTGAAAAACAAAACTGTCTCTTTCTAAGTCCCAGCTCAGACCCAAGCTTTTCTGAAGAGGCAGGGGGTCTGTGCCCAGGCAAAGGTCTTTAAGATTTTTAGCCCTATCATCTGCAGGAAATGCATTCATGACTTCTGCGCTGTTTGACGCAATTTTATGAAGTCTCAGATTAGACTCTGCTAGCATCTGTCGTGATTTGTTAAGAATGTCAATTGCTTTCTTTGGAGTGCTGGCAGATGCAAGTCCATCGTCCACATAGAAATGTCTCAAGACAAACTGTTTGGCGTCTTGGCCGAATTGTTCTGCGCTCGTCAGGGCTGCCTTGCGCATGCAGTATATAGCAACAGCAGGCGAAGGGCTGTTACCAAAAACATGTACTCTCATTCTGTACTCTATGACTTCTCCGTCTACATCATGGTCCTTGTACCAAAGGAACCGTAGGTAGTCTCTGTGGTCTTCTCTCACTAAGAAACAATAAAACATTTGTTGCACATCTGCTGTAAATGCGATGGGTTCCTTTCTGAACCGCATGAGGACACCCAACAATGTGTTGTTCAAGTCAGGGCCACTCAATAGCACATTATTTAAAGAGACACCTTCACACTCCGCGCTGGAATCAAACACTACTCTTATTTGATCGGGCTTGTGTGGATGGTAAACACCAAACATTGGTAGATACCAGTGCTCTTTACCTTGTTCTAGCGGTCCTGCGATTTCAGCGTGTTCATTGTCTAACATCCTTTGAATGAACTCTGTGAAATCTTTCCTCATTTTTGGTTTATTCTGCAGAGATCTGCGAAGTGAGATGAGGCGATTCATGGCTTGTTCTTTGTTGGAAGGCAATAAACATCTGGGTGCACGAAAGGGCAAAGGGGCAACCCAGCTGTGACTGTCATCCTGATAAGTGTCCTTTTCCATAATCTGGAGAAAGACTTGATCCTCCATGGACAGGGCTTGCTTGTCATCCCCTTCTGACCTTTGGAATATTGTAGCCCCCAGCTTGTCCGTCTCCAAGCCGGGGCTGATGTCTTCTGGGCTATATGAAGAAGAAGGGCCACGGAAACGAATTAGGTTATCTAATCTTTCTTTAACAATGAACCTGTTCTGGCATGGATTTAGAGAGGTTGTGCGCCCGTTCGGTAACACCGATGTTCTTAAGACACTGACACTATTAGTCTGGTGGGTAGATCCTAGGCAAACTTCTCCTACTATTACCCATCCCAGTTCCAGTCTTTGTGCGAAAGGGGCATTAAAAGGTCCATTGATTGTTTCATGCACCTTGTGCACCTGTAAAATGTCTCTTCCCAGAAGTAACAGTATAGAAGCCTCAGGGTCTATGGCTGGTATACGTTTTGCTATTGGACGTAGGTGAGGATGGTAACGAGCTACTTCAGGGGAAGGGATTTCATCTTTGTCATCAGGTATCTTATCACATTCTATTAATGCAGGTAGAGGAAATTGTCTCTTTTTGTCAAAGGATTCAACAATGAAGTTTGAGGCTCTTCTGCCTGCCGTCTCTGTGACTCCTGCACAAGTCTTTAATGTGTACGGTGCTGCGGTAGTTGTAATGTTGAAGGTGTTGAAGAACTCTGGGGTTGCAAGAGATCTGTTACTTTGTTCATCAATGGCAGCATACATTCTCACTGCCCTTTCTCTTTGTCCTTTGGGAAACACAGTCACTAAACATATCTTGGAACATGACCGTGAACTTTTACCGTGGCCACAGATTTCAGTGCACTTGGCAATCACTGGTGGAGCTGTCCTGTCACTGTGCTCCCTGCTGTAATCTGTAACGGCTCCTACGGTCTCCGCTGGTGTTGAAGGTAGGTCAGGATGTAAGGCGGCAATGTGCCTCTCACTGCCACATTCTGAGCACTCAATAAGTATCTTACAGTCTCTAGCCATGTGTTTGGTGGATTCGCAGCACTTGAAACAGATGCCATTCTGTCTGAGGAAGTACGTTCTCTCACTAATAGGTTTATTCCTGAACCCTTTACACTTTTTCAGGGGGTGAGGCTTATGGTGAATCGGGCACTGTCTATCAAGACTCTCTAAGGCACCCGCTTGCCTGCTGTATTGAGAGTGTGAAGTCTCTGTAGGAACAGCCGTCTTGTGTGTGCGTACAGAGGTCTTACCATAAAGCTTGGATGGTTTTTCAGGTCTTGTTGGCTGAATGTTGCCGTAGCTGAAAGCAAAGCTGGGATCATTCTTTATCTGCGCTTGCTGCTGTACGAACCTAGAAAACACAAAGAAAGGGGGAAAACCTACTCCTGTTTCTTCTTTATACTTGGTTCCAACTGATGCCCACTTTGTCATCAAGGGTGATGGTAATTTCTCTACTATAGGATTAATGCCTATAGCGTTGTCCAAGTATGAAAGTCCTGTCAGGTAGCCTTCTTCTTTAGCACGCTCTATTTCCAGAAGAAGATCCCCTAAATCACGCAGTCTTTTAGGGAAAGCGTCTAGCCTATCCCTTAATGCTTTCTCAATTACTTCTGGTGCGCCGTATTGCTTCTCTAGCCTTTGCCAAGCCATGTGAAGCCCTGCTAAGGGGTTAAACAAATGCACTCTGCGCATGCTTTTTGCGTGTTCCGCTGATTCATCCCCTAAATACTTTATCATCAGATCTAGCATCTCCGAGGCTGACAGATTTAGATCTTTAGTTGCATTCTGGAAAGAAGACTTCCATGCCCAGTAATTTTCCGGGCAATCGTCGAACCTTATAAAGCTTGAATTAACTGTTTCTTTGCGGAGTAGATATTTAGTGATATCTTGAATGCATCGATGTTCCGGTGCACAATCCCCTTGCTTCGGTAATGGGAACCTTGGATTTCTGCCTTTAGGGGCTTCTGCTGGGCGCTCTGAGTCTGGTTTGATCATTGCTGCTGGTTCGGTTTTAACCGATATCCCGCTGGCTGGCATGTTACACAGGTTGCGTATGAACTCGTTTGTGCGTTCTGCAGAAGAGAGAGGTTTCTCTGGGACCTTCGGTCCTTCGCGAGTTCTATCCCTCTCTAATGGGTTCGCTTCTAAGTAAGCGGCCGCTTCTGCCTCTGCTGCTGCAGCTGCTCTCTGGCTCTTGAGAAGGTGTAATTCAGCTTCCCTCTCCGCCATTTCTTTTCTCATACTAGCTTCTTTTTCAGCGAAAACTAGATTAACGCGTGCAGCGTCTGCTTTCGCTCGCGCTTTGAGCGCCAGGGAGCTGGCCGAGGAGAGCTTGCTAGATCTAGATGATCTGGACGCATATGACTGTACGTCGTCTTGCTGGACGCTAGCCCTCTCGCTGCCATGCTGTATTTCTGGGAGTGCATCCATGAATAAATACTTCTTCCCCGATCTCAGACTCATGTTTGGAGAGTAGCGTCTTCCGTAATCGAGTCTTCTACGAATTAGTCTTTTTTTACTATTCTGTTTTCACAACTATGTACTCCGTGTATAGAAGCTCCACAGATAGTTTAACCAATAAATCTTAAGGAAGTCAGCGACGAAATACTCAGTC